ATATTCGTCGTCGTTTCGTCAGTTTTCATCCACCGTTGTTGTGCTGCTACGACCCCTGCTGGCAGAGGGCAATGAGCAGATTCTGACCGTCGACTTTTCGCAGTTTCCCTCAGTCCCCCCAACAGCCTTCGCGGGGCTTGGTAACCTGAGCGAAGACCGAGCCGGAATATTTTTCGATGGCGTCAATAACATAAGTGGTAGCTGGCTAAATTTTACGTAGACTTCGCCATGGTCTCCAACCGTCCTCCTTTTTCAGCCGGGCTTTGGACCGTCAGCGGCGAAGTGACATTTCGAACAATAAACCTTACTTAATTCTGGCGTATTATAGAAAGTTTTATTAAAAACTACAAAGACTACTTTGTGGTAAATGCAGTATCAATGTCATATATAAAAACTCCAATAAACCTAATATTTTATTAATTAACTCGAATAATAGCAACTCTTTGGATTGGATTTACAAACTAACTTAAGACTGTAGGAAATGTTACATACTAGAAAGGGGAAACCCCGTTGGCCAAAAAATAAAAGGCTGCCTGTCAAACTGGTTTAGATGGATGACCGCCGAGAACGCGAATGACATGCACCAACAAAGAATGGAGAAATAAAACTAATCGTTCCACTAAATCGGTCAAGGAATAATGCCAAAAGGCCTCTGTGATTTGTAACCCCCTGTAGAAAAAGATCACATCCCCAGCAGTTAAACTGCACCAGCGTTATTAAAGAAAGAAACTAGTTGATCAGACGAATCAAAGAAGCTTTAATTATTCAATCCTGAGAAAATGTCAACCGGAACGAAGGATTCGAATCCTGTGCAGATAGGATATGCCTCCTCAAGCTCATAACTCAAAATCTACTTAATCAGTAGCATGGGCCAGGCGCATACCATTGGCTTCAGACATCACAGCAGCTGCGGACCACATGTCTAACTGCAGAAGCCAGTCCCAACTACTATGAAGAAAGCCGGATGAAAAACGATTGGAAATATCATTGCTGGTCAATCACCAGATTGAATAACTTATTCTTTTGCGTTGTATAAAAA